TTATGTATAAAGTGGGAAGCTAGAATAAAACTTGTGTTGTCAGATTGTAGTTAGCAGTATCTGTATGAATGTGTGGCTTTTATAGTAAATAGGGGTGTGTTTGTGTGTGTATATACACTAATATATTAACATTTCCTAGTTCTGTACGCTGACAGAGTCTAGACCCCAAGAAATTCCAGCAGCAATGAACACATCTGATGCCAATATTTTGGTTTTTAAATATCCTTCTCTACCTAGAAGAACCAGGTTCCTTGGAGAAATGTTGATTCCCAGACTGTGGCTGGGAAAGTACAAAATGAGCCTTGATCATCTTACCAGAAAGTAAGAAGTACTCAAAAAGTGTTGGGGACATGTCCATTGGACACAGGAGCCAGCCTGAAGGGGCAACTGGCTAAATCCTAGACAATTTCAGCAAAACAACAAGGAGTAATAAATGATAGGTACTAAAATAAGAATTCATGAATCCATACAGGTATTTTTTCATACTGATATTTTTTTAAATGCAAAAATAAAAGGAATAAAGAAGACTCATGTTAGAGTGCCAACTAATAAATTTAGATGGAATAATGGAATATCACTATTTGGCAACTACCATAACCAGCATACTAGGCAAAAATCATCAATGGATATTAAATGATTTGATGAGAAACAGGATATCTATATATTGGCAAAGAATCTCCTCAAAAGACACCTAATTAATACAAAGGGAACAACAGTAACTCACTGCAAAACCTAGCAGACACCACCTTAAACAAGTGATCAAAATGAACTCTGAGGATGCCGTAAGAAGGGAACAATCACTGCTATGGTATTTGTCAAAATTTAACTTGACTCTAAACATGAGGAAACATCAGACAATATATTAGACACTCACACATATATCCACACATACATATATACCTATGTACACACATACATATTTCATGTAATGTATATAATTATATACAATGTAAAACATAAGTGTGTATATGTGTATAATGATAAAGCAAATATAGTAAAATATTACCATTTGGTGAATATCCAGGAAAAATATACAGGAACTGAGTTTTTTGTACTATTTTTGAAACATTTAAGTATAAAATTTGAAAAGAAAAAGAAAAAAAAGAAAGAACCCCACCAGCAAACTGGAGGACATACGCTGGTAACCTAACACTTATTTCTGGGAAGGGCCAACTCATACCATCCTACAAGCTCTGCAATACAGGACTCCAGAGAGTGAATTTCTAATGTATGGAATGTGGCAGCCCCACCGAGAAGAATAAAGAGATGATACAATAATTTTGGCCTGCCTCTATCATCTCTTGTCCTGAAAATTCCAAATTATCAAGATGAAAACAAATCCCTCCCTTAAAGACAGAAACTTGACAAGCCATGAAGTAGAAAAAAGAATTACGGGCATAACAGGATCTCAACTACATTAAAGATGCACAAAGGAAAGAAAAGCACTTAAACATGTAAAATGATTACCTCTGGGTGATAAAATCTAGTGATATTTTCCTACTCTACCTTCTAAAATTAGAACATAATACTTCATAAGAAAAGTTTAGGAAATAACAGTAATGAACATTGCCAAGTCACAGAGAACAGGAGCAATGACTACAGGATTTAGAAATATAGCAGGAGGGGAAGAATGAAGGGGGGGAAATCGGAAGGGGAGACAAACCATGAGAGACTATGGACTCCGAAAAACAAACTGAGGGTTCTAGAGGGGAGAGGGGTGGGAGGATGGGTTAGCCTAGTGATGGGTATTAAAGAGGGCACGTTCTGCATGGAGCACTGGGTGTTATACACAAACAATGAATCATGGAACACTACATCAAAAACTAATGATGTAATGTATGGTGATTAACATAACAATAAAAATAATTTTAAAAAAAAATTAGTAAGACCTTGCCTTTTGAGAGGCTGAGTGCTGAAGTGTGTGGAAGAGTCAGGATATAGAATATTGGCCTTGCAATCTAAAAAAACAAAGTCCTAATCAGCCATGTTTACCTCTTAAAAAAAGAAACTATTATCTGTTGTGTTTTCTGACAAAGCTGTTCTGTGAATCATGCAAGATAATGTATGTGAAAGTGTAAAAGGATAGTATTTTAATCATATGGTAAATACCAATTAGATTTAAAAATAAAGGTGAAGTTAAAGGTGAAAAAATATAGACGACAAATAGTTTTGAAACTTTTATATTTGTTAGATTCATTTCTCAGATCTACACAAGAACACAAAACAAAATGTCCATTTATGGAAGCTGCCTTGTTTCCCCCACCCCTTGCCTGTAAATGTAGTTTAAGTGGGTCCCTCTCTTTTACGTTACTTAACTCACTTAAAATGTTCATTTATTACATTATAGATGATTCACTGGCTCTATCCTAACCTCCACATCTCAATTAACGGTAAGTCACCTCAACCTAAAGGCTGAGCACTGTGATTAAAGGCAAATATCCTACAGCTGTGCCTTTTAAAGCTTTCACCTATTCAAATGACCTCATCTTTCTCTGCTTTTTTCATCTATACAATGAGTTATTACCTCATTCACAGATTTTTGAGCATGAAATGAATTATAAAACTTTTAGAATCATTTCCTGTTTAGAGTAACACTGAATAAAAATGAGTATTGTAATGGTTATTAAATATGGGCATCTAGCAAGCAATTAATAACATAGTTAATTCTCTCTAAACGTCTATTCTCTACACGGCTAACTTTTAAAATGCTACTCATCCTTCAAGACAAAGCTGGAATGTTGCCACTTCTTGATACCTTCCCTAATGATTCCAGACTGAAAAGTACTCATTTTCTCATACATTCTATTGTTACAGCATTGCCTACTTATTAAAGTGGCATTTCTTTACCTACTGCATCATGCTATTTACTTACATGTATTGTATCCACTACTAGATTGCTCGAGGTCAAAAAATGTTCTTGTATTTACACTGCAGAAGAGCCCCACACATTTTATACACAGTGACCATTAAGTGTTCAGCTTAAACAATTTCAGGCCCTTTTGTTTTTGACATTAGTATATATTTGGGCAGTATGTGTATAAACAGATTCTACTGACTATATAGATGGTTGACCATTAACCTATATTGAACATATTATATAGGAAGAAACATCCAATAATTTAAAAATTCATTTTAATAAAAATTATCATGTTCAAGACAGCAAAACCACAGTGACCCTTGAAATGCTAACAGGTCTAATGATCTAGGAAGAAAGGAGTGGAGGAACTATTTATTTGGCTTCAGCAAAAGGAAGAAGTTTCAGAAGTCACCTGAGAAAATAAAATTACAAGTTAATTACAGATGTATGGGTTCCCAAAGTAGGAATCTACTCAAAGTATTGGCTATTGAAAACCTGTTTTCTTCAAAGGGCAGTATACATTACATAGTAATACACAGTAGTTATACCTAATAGGTTCTCTTGAAACTCTATGGTTTCTACTTTTGTGTTTTATGCTTTTAATCTTCGAAATGCTAGTTTTTCCACTTAGAGGTCTAAGAGATCCAGAGCATTGTGACATCAACTTATTTCAGAAAGTATTTGCTGTCAATCCAGTTAGGCCAAAAGATTTCACCTTTTAATTACCTATTATTAAATTATACAGACTCCTAGTGCCTTTTTCTTTTAGTATTGTTTTCTAATTTTATTTTCTAAGAAGCCATTATAGATAAATAACAGAAGATACACCTGGAACGTTCAAAATCAGTTTCTATACCAAGGCTTCCTTGCCCAGGTGGTTTTAGTGTAAACACTTACGCCCTCTGGTTAACAGAAATTCAGTTACGCATAATCGTATCCTTCCATTTTAGTCTTCATAACAACCTATGAAGTAAAACTTCTTTTTAACACCATTTTGCAGATGACAGATGTAACAGAGGTACAAAGCAAATGGTAAGTTTTCAGTGGGCTTAGTGAAGGGCTAAGTAACACTCTGAGGTTAAGCACCAGCAAGAAGCAGAGCAAACTTGGCTCTAGAACTCAAGCTCTTGCCTTCTATTCCACCGTCCTACATACAACCTATTACACAAATTAGGTTGAGATTTTTTTTTTTTTAGACAGATGGAAACAGCTGACATGTGGTCATGTTTTCATTTAAATAGTATGGGCTTAGAAAATAATTATGTTACCTACTCATAAATTGCAACTCAACTTTAATCTGAGGACAGTTTATTTTCTGATCTTACGCTTACTGTTCATCACATACTACCAGAAACGGGTCTGGTAATGTTTTATGCACAGAGCCCGAAAGTCTACAAGATTCACTGCACCCCACCGTTTTTTCCTGAGCTTACATATAGCTCAATAAGAAGGAAATCACATGGTCATGAAAATGCTCTGTAATGTGACAGTATTACCAAACCTGTATTTTGTATTTTTCTTTCAAACTACTATCGAAAATACTTTAATATAACCCCTTCCAGTCCTATTTGTCTTTTTTAAAGTCCTATATTATCTTCCCTTGTTTTATTCATCTTTAAATACTTCCACGTTTTCTCTCAACATTTATCCATGGGTCTAACAATAAAACGAAAATTATCATAAATGCCTGAATTTCAATTTGCTCCTGTGGAAAATGGAAAAAGACATTAGTCCGGCATAGCTGCGTCCTGAAACTTAGCAAAAGATCAAAGTCTACGCCGATAGAGCCAAGCGTGTTGACAAATGAATGAAAAAAAAAACAAAACATCTCTGGGGTGGCTTCGCCATCCCTGATCTCCTCGCCAGAGGCCCACAGGCGCCAGGAGGCAGGCGGCCGCGACCCTCCTGCGACACCCCGAGCGCAGTAGGCCTCGATCCTCCCCCTCTCTCCGCAGGCTCAAGGCGCAGCAGCAGCAGCCTGGCTACAAAAAGGACAAGGCATTGAACGGCTTCCGTCACTCCCGGAATTCCCAACTTGCTGGGGAGAGGAGGGAAAACCGAGGCGACGACGGGAGGTTCCGCTCCAAAGAAGCGGCCGACACAAACCCGGCAGGGTCTGTAAAAAGCAGGCAATAAAACTAACCAGACACAAGAGCTAAGATTGACAGTGAGGTACCCCGGAGTCCCGAAAAACGCAGCTCGCCGCCTCTCGCCCGCCCGAGGGGCGCGAGGTTAAAGGCCATCTGCAGAAGCTGCAAGCACATTGGCTGACGGACAGGCGCGCAGGCTCTGGGGGTGGGTCCCGTACTCGCCGCAGCCGCGTCTGCGGAACCCTGAATCCTCCAGCTACTCACCGGGGTCTGGGAATCCGGCCACAAGCAGACGTTTCAGCCAGAGCCGCAGGGGTTGAGAGGAGAGGGAGAGCGGATGCAGACAGCCCGCGACCTCCCCGCCGCGAGCCCTTCCAGCCCCGCCTCCCAAAAGGCGCGCGCAGAGCGTTCTTGCCGCCCCGGGGGGGGCGGGGCCTGACTCCGGGCTCTAGAAGAGGGCGGGGCGCTGGCTTTCCATGCATGGGCTCCCCCTAATCTGTGAGCGTCGGGAGGGGCGTGGATAAAGGAGAGGAGAGCTTTTCCGGGTGTCCCGAGCGGATGGAGAAAAGGGGCGGAGCCGACTCTGGCTGGACTCCCCACCCACCTCTCCGACTAGGGAGGACCCACCCCTCTCTTAAAAACTGTTCTTCTGAGGTTCTTCTGGGAAGCTCTCACTAATACAGGACAGCTGGTTTTGATGGGAGGCTTTCCAAAGTTGCTTTAACTCGAGTACACCGGTTGTTTTCAAACTCTTTAAGGAACAGTTTAAAAAAAAAACAAAAAAACTTTTCTTGAAGGCCCTAAGTAAATAAAGATGACATTTAATTTGCAAATGTATTGTATAAAATCACATTTGTAGTGGAGTACAGAAATAATTGAGAACAACAATGAGACAGGTGTAAAGAACAAGAACTTTCGAAATAGGGGTTACAGCTGAAGGTTTCTATCTTACATCAGCCTGAGAAGCCAAGAGAATTCTCTATTTTGTTTGGTTACATAGTAACAAGGAAATCCTGGCTCACAGTCTAGAACTTGATGACGTGAACAATTTTTTAAGGGCTGTCCTTAAAATCACACTGGAGTTTTAAGAGGAATTTTAGTTGTGAAATATGCATATATGAATGTATCCCGTATGTGCACATTTTAAAAAAATAATAAAAAGAATACCCTGGTACCCACTACAGAGCTACTAGCAAGATGAAGAATACCAGTATTTTTGAAGCCTTCTCAAAAGCCCTCACCATCTCGCTCCCAGACAGAAATAACCATTATGCTAAATTTTGTATTATTTATTTCCTTGAATTTTGAGCATAGTTATATATGTGTGATTCCCTAAAAATATAAGTTATCCTGGTGGTGTATTTTTTATAATGAATCATACAGCATTTTCCCCTCCAGCTTTTTTTCGCTACACATTTGGGTTTTGAGATTTATCTATACACAGATACATTTCACATAGGCTGGCACATCACTGTAACACCTGTTATTGTTAGATTTTAAAATTTTTGCCTGGCAATAGCATCTCTTAATTTGCTCTTTTAATTTACCTTAACCCCCTTGCCAATAAGGTTGTGCATCTTTATAAATGCTTAGTGGCCATTTGGTTTCAGTGAAATGCCTGTTCTCAATTTTAACTCACTTTTTATAGGCTTGTTGCTTTTGGAAATTAATTTGTAGATAATCTTTATTTTTAAAGTTCAAATACGTCTCTCTTGTTGGTTATATGTGTTTCAAATAGCTTCTCTCAGTTTATGGATTGTTCTTTAACTTTCTGTGGTATCTTTTGATAACCAAAAGCTATATATTTTAAGTAATGCTAGTTGAATTTAACAAATTTTTACATTATAGTTTCATGCATTTTGCTTTCTTGTTTAAGAGTCTTCCCAACCTGAGACCATAAGATATTCTCTTTTATTTTCTAAAAGTTTTAAAGCTTAATTATGAAATATTTTTAGACACAGAAAATATAAATAAAATGAGTATGTTACAGGCTTTGTTGCTTTTGGAAATTAATTTGTAGATAATCTTTATATATTTTTAAAGTTTAAATACTTCTCTCTTGTTGGTTATATGCACTCAGCTCTACACATTGAAAAATTTAGCAAGCCCCTCTTTCTTACAATTCTTCTCTAAAATTGCCTTAACTACTCTTGGCTGTTTGCTCTTTCATATAAACTTTAGGATGAATCAGCCAAGATCCATAAAAAACCCTATTTGGATTTTGATTGGAATGGATTTGACTTTATTGATTAATTTATGCACAGGCCTGGGAAATAAGGAGAAAGATCTTTATTGCTAATGCCAAAAAAGAAATGGATGCTGTTTTGCTAGTAGCAAGACAAGATCAACCCCAAGGATCTTGTGGGGGTAGAGACTATTATAATAATAAATGGGAATTAGGAGAAGCCAAAGGCTACTATTAGTTTAATGCATTAGAATAGTTTCAGTAAGAATTTGATAAGCAAAATTTGTATTTTTTCCCCATTCTTCCCTGTTTGGATCATTTTTTTTTTCCTTTGGGATCTCAGTGACCACCCTGATGCAACACATTTGAAATGTCTATTTACTACACAAAATCAATTTATCTGCAGCTCTCCCTTTTTTTCCTTCTGGCAATCCATTTATTAGATGAATGGCATATTCCTCCAGTGCTAGTTTTTAGTTAAAATACATACGAAAAATAGACAATTGAATTTGGCAGAAATTATAGCCATCCTGTATTTGAAAAATGTCAAGATTTAGTATGTAAAAATATATGTGATCATTACAACAAAACATTGTTCCCATATCTCCCAATAATTAAGTAATCCACACAAAAACACTTTGAAAAAAAAAAAGTGATGTGGAAAAAAAAAACAAAACAATGATAACATTCTCTCTATAAGTGATATTTCAACATTTCTTGCCATTAGCAAGGGACCAACAGAACAGTCAGAGTTATAAGATGAGGCATTAGTTGCAATACCAGTCCTATTTATAAATACTGTTTTGCATTGAATCTGATGGGTAGAAAAAGTCATGCAATGAGAATCTACCCTAATTTATGTTGGCAGACATAATCAAACAGCTTTTAAGAAGTAGGCAAGCACCAATATAGTTATAAAATAAAATACCCTTTCTTTCATTCAACATCAGGATATTTATTAATATAATAACTCCCATAAACATATTAGAGTAGGGAATAATGATTATTTCAAAAAATGCAGGAAAAAAACTAGGCCCTCAGGGCTGATTCTCTCTTATTTTGATTTACTAGGATTCTATGATACTGGAAATATTACTTTAGAATTTCTATTTTTGTCAATTTTTAAAATTGATAAACTGGTGGCAACAATTGACTCTAGAGAGAGAGAGAGAGTTATCTAAATGTTTAAATTGAAGCAAGAAAGGAATTTGTATCCTGAAATCCCTACTGCACTGTAAAAGATTAGCGTCTCCTTGACAGCATGGATTTTGCCCTTTTTATATGTCCAGAGCCATCAAAAGTTGTTGACATATAACAAGAATGCAACAAATAATTTATTCAGGGGATAAAAGAATAAAAGACTAAGACGTTACTTACTCATTATTATTTAATCCTACTTCTGATATGTACTGTTTGCTCTAGTCCTAGAACTGTCCTGTCTGTCACCTGAATACTTTATGTCTTTTTTTCCCCTCCAGGCCCTGCAGTTCATTAGAATCTCCTAGACATATTATGTCATTTCATACCTTTGTTCATCACTCCACTCACCTGACATGCCTTCTCAGTTCCTGTCCATATCCTCTCCACTCACGTTAATCAGAGTTCTTTTTTGCCAGCAATAGAAACTGAATCTGGCACACTAAAGCACAAATAGACCTCATGTGAAAGGTTACAGAGTATAGCAGGAAGGTGAAGCCTAGTCAATTAGGCAATGGGCGGGAACCCAGAAGGGCTGGACAACTGGGATCACAGCCTCGTGAAATGGTACAGATTAAGGCACTGATACTTTCAAGTGTGCACTGAACTCTCAATGTTTTTGACACCACCATGAAGAATTTATCCATTCTGCCTGCATTGTTTGCCTTACTTCTTCAAGATTAAAATCTTTGGTTGGAAAAATTTGATTAGCTAAGCCTAGGTTATATGTCTGTATCTCCTTAGCTTCCTTGAAAAGGAAGTTGGTCCTTCTGGCTTCCTTAATGGGAAGTCAGGCACAAGACACACACTATGGTATTCCTCCAAAACCAGGATTTTGGGATTCTAAATAGCCAACAAACAAATGCAGTAAATCTCAAAACAAAAGTTCAATTATCTACTACACTATGCTTCAATGTCCATGTCAAGTCTACCTTCTCTAATGCTATTGTACTACGTACAATATAAATACTACTACATACATACATTAATCACTATTACAGTGAGTACAGGCAGTGCTATGAAACACAGCAATAATTTCTTCATTAATTAAATTGTCATACCATTCTTTACATCATGTTTTGCTTTATAAAGGTATAACTCTTGACTAGGCTATCTCTTGACATCATTTGGGATGCAAAGAATGTAACTCTCAAGAAATCCCCTGAATATAACACCAAAGCCTCTACCAGCTGATAGCAGCAGATAATTCAGAGATCCAAACTCTTACCCATCACCCTACTGCTCTAATTTTTCACCATGTGTACCCAGAGATCTTGAGTATCTACCAGTCTTGACAACAAAGAATACAATCTAACTCTATCTGACATAAATTCATGAATTGTGACACAGGTCAAAGAGGAAACTAGTGTTGGCGGGTCATGTCTCTAACTCAAAGCTGTGTAAATTCCCTGGCCTTATAGTCGCTACAGGGGCTAAGGTGCCTTCTTTACTCATTATAGAGGCTGATTTAGGATTGACTCACACCCTAGTATTAAACTCAGTGTAGGTAATTCTCAACTGCTATGGTCTCAGTGTTTGCATTCCTTCAAAACATGTTGAAACCAAACTCCTCTGGTGATGGTACCAGGACGTGGAGACTTTTGGAGGTGGGGACTTTTGAAGTGATTAGGTCATGAAAGCAGAGCTCTCATGAATAGATAATAGTGCCTTTAGAAAGGAGAATCCAGAGAGACCCCGGCCCTTTTCTGCCATCTGAGGATAGAATAAGAAATCTATGGCCCAAAAGAGGGCTTTCACCTGACCATGCT